TCCCTCCCTCCCTCCCTCCCTCCCTCCCTCCCTCCCTCCCTCCCAAGTAACTTTTGCTGTGGTGTTTTATCACAGTAACAGAAAAGTACACATTTTAGCAGCATTACCGCAGTTTCATCAATTTCCTCTAGACAATGACAGTTCAGTATCTCACCTTAGTTTATTAAGAGTCCTATGACCTTTAACACGCTTTAATAAAATGTATAGAAGAATGAAGATTTCAAAGGCTTACCTTCCTGAAAAGTCTCTGACTTCCACCCCCAGCGGATGTTGGGTAATAGATGTAAACATTGTGGTCTTCTGCACTGACGGGCTTTTCCACAAACGGCTTTTGGAAAACTTCCCCATTCACTTCGACATGGTCTTCTCCTTCAATCAGGTTGCATTCTAAACACAAAGCATAGCTGCCAGTCAGACACTGATCTATCACCTAGGCAATATCATAAGAGCAAAAATAAAATGTACTTCTCAAGCTTCTAGCAAAATGACGCTAAGCCTTAGCAGACTAAATTAATCAGAGCTAAGGTAGCACAGCAGCAGAGAAATAGCCTGAATAGTATGTGCAACGCCCTGGCCTCAATCCTCAGGGCCTCAAGGAAAAACACTTAGCCTGAGACAAAGGACAAGAGGCTACTGATGACTACAGAGAGAGTAAGAATTAGCCTTCCCAGGGATAAGCTTCCTAAATGATTATCCAGTTCCCAATGGTCAGCCCTCAGATCATACATATACAATTATATGTATAAGACCCAGGAAGATAGCTCCTAGAGTACTTAGCCAGTTAGCTCAGTGTCTTGTTTTGCTTTCTTTTCTGACACAGGGTCTCACAGTGTGAAGCCAGCCTGGCCCAGAACTAAATACATACTGATTCTGACATCGAATTCCCTATCAATCTGCCTTACCCTTCTGAGTACTGGGATTCCAGGCATGCCCCGCCACGACAGGCCCACAACTATTTAATTCATTAAGATAAACGATTAAATAGACTATCATGAATTCCTAAACTCTTTCTAGTTATTGTAGGGAGTGACACAGAGTCTGTCAAGAAGCAAAAGGAAGGCTGGGGAGCTGAGTTCTCTGACCTTTCGGGTTATTTGGATCACGGTTCAGAATCGCATACCGAGGAAGTAGGATGCCTTCAGCTTGAAGAATGCTATAAACGTCTCTTCTAAAGAAACAGAGAGACATCCTTAGTGTTTGGCTCTCCACTACTCAGTATATTCCCACACAAGTAGTTATCATCTTAATTATCAGGACCTTCAAATATTAACCCTTTTTGTTTTTCTAAATATTTCAAATATCAAACTGCTCCTAACAAAATATTCACCAAAATGCATATAAAATGTCTTTTGTAGCATACCAAAAGACTACACTTTAAAACAAGAATGTACATGCATGAAGAAAAATAGTCAAGCAAGACTAATATCACAAAGACAAAATATAGCCTAATGATTAAAACCCTTACCATAAAATAATATTTAATACTATAGAAAAATATTCATAAAATGTTGAGAGAAAAATGATTTTGCTCTCATGTGAAATTAGCATATGTGTATTTCCATGTAAGTAATGTCATGTTATAACACAAAAGTAGAATGCTCATGGAAAATAGCACTCCATATAGTTACCAAAACAAAATGCCAACTAAATGAATCAGACAAACACACTCCCTTTCATAACTTCATCTGCTCACTAGGTTAAGATGTATAGTAACAAACTGCTGTAATGGTACACTTCACCACAAACACCATCAGTTCCAGTGAATGAATGCTATGTCGGCATCAGCCACATGACAAGAGACTGCAATTCTGATCGGTTTAGTAGGCTTTGGAAATTAAGCAACTGTCAGCAAGTTCCTTGTCCCACTACTTAGGAAACTACCTGTGACTAAGTGAACGATTCCTCAGTGCTCAAGGTTCTTCATTGATAAAGTTTCTTAATAAATGTATTCTCTTAAGGATACAATGACCATAAGTGAGAACATCTGATGCTGTGTCAGCATACACTAATTAGTAAGGAAGCGTGGATTTCTTTTTCCCTTAGTTCAGCCAACTTCACTCACCTATCTTGTATGAGATACTGCATATTCAAGTCATTGATTACAAATGGATTCCTGAGTTTTGCATAGGCAACTGCTTTGTCCAGTGGAAATCCTAAGAACACATATTATTATCATATTCTGTACAATCTCAAGATAAGCTGGCATCTATAAATTTATTAATTATCAACTTGAATTATGTCACCTCCCCTAAAAAAATAATTTCATTATGTACATAACCACATTCTATAAAAGATATGAAATAATAAGTATGTACATTTTTATTTAACTTACACTATTAAAATAACTTTTCTGGGTTATTATCATTGATCTGGCACACCAAGTCACTGACTATATTAGTCTGTTATCTGACTATTTAAAGATACCTGATAGAAAGGTAAGATAATTTCATATATAAAGAGAAATCTTTGAATAATGTTTCACACCACTTGATTTTTAAAAATCTTCTCAATACACATGTCTCTTTTATTTGACATTTTCATGTCTAAATATGAACTAGCTGACAGTACCTTTAAAAATAGAAGCAAAAACAAAAATGGATTTATACACAATAAAATGTGCAAAAGATAAAGATATGAATAGAAGCATGCTGCAGCTGGGTCACCTTTAGGATATAAAAACTAATCTACTAAAGCCTCTAGACTACTAAAATGATTAATAGTAATGAAAGTGAGTCAAATGTAGATATGATTACAATACATTTGAAAAAACTGTAAAAATCTTAGAGATTATATTTTACTCTCTACATTACCACTAAAATTCTCCAATGTACCATAGCAGATTGAAAAAAATAAAAACATGCTTAAATCCTGCCTGTTTAGCTATGTAAGGTTAAGTTGACTTGCCTATCTCTAAAGTCAAGCTCAGTTGTCAATGATCATGACAACCATCTAACCAATAGGACACTGGTAGAATGAAGAGCTTCTCAATGTATTTAAGATACTTAGAAAATCTGCATAACCTCCCAAAGAATACTACATTTTATTGTCCTTAAGTGACAATTCTCTCATCAAATATCTCCTCTATGGAAGATAAAAACCAATCAGCAGGATGGTGTATGATTTAACCATGAACATCAACCCTTCCTGAGGACATTACATTTCTGCAGCACTACATGACATTTTAGAAATGTTAAGTATTAAAATTCTAATCAAAAAGCTACGTTCAGTTAAAATGATTTCCTAAATTTCTCTTAATTTTTAAATAATGCATTAAGCAGCAGCTGTACTCTATAACACATTCTGCACATGTAAAGGTTTCAATGTCATGAATTCAAGTTTCCGACCAGAACTGAGCAAATGGAAAGCACGTGCCATCAGTCAGTCCCTGCTTTCATGTTGGTTAAAGAGAAAATAGTCTCTTGCCAACAGATAACATATAGAGTATGTCCTAAAACACAGCAGGGAGCTTTTAGGAGCTAATAGCTTTCACAGAAAGAACCATGTAACTAACAGTAAAAGAAGAACACTTTCATGTCAGAAAATTTAAAAATTTTTCAAGAAAAAAGCCTCAGCTAACCAAGATCAGACTATGTTTACTAAAAAATGAAAATCAATCTTCATTACCAGTATACAGAAAAAAAATTTAGCACAGTACAGAACTATTGTGGGGGGGTTAAAAATGTAATGATTAATTCAGAAACAAAGTCTAAACCTTACAAACTTATTAATGGGAAAAACAAGCAATTTACAAAATTTAAAAATTTTTCAGAAATAGACAGCAATAATTTTTATTATTGTATTTTACTATAACATTAATAATTAAGCTTAACTGCTATTGCCGTTCAATTAAAAATGGCAAAGAAGCCCTAAATTTTTAATTGAAAGTTCTTAACAAATGAACTATGCACACTTATAAAGAATACCAGGTTACTTTCTATGTGGTAGAAATATAGGGCTTAAAATCTCTAATAATTCAAGCATTTATCTGCAGATAAGTGCAAACAAAGGTATATATTAAAAGGGCTAATCACAACCTTACTTTAACAGTGAAGACTAAGAGTTATCCAAATGTTAGGTTATTAGTTAACTAAGTTATACATTTATATAATATACACCATGAAAAAAATATGGTGTGGGAAAATTTGATAAAATCTAAGAAAAGCTAAATGTAAAGCTACATGTAACTACGACACTAAACTTTGAAAAAACACGTTGAGAAGAAAAAAATTAGAAAGAAATATATCAAAATGTTAACATCCCTTATCTGTGAGTTAGCTTCATTTCTCATTTATCTAATACTCTACAATAAGTATGTATTATTTCTACAATCAGATAGGATAAAACACCCCTTCCACCTTCCAATACCTTTAGAATGGAAAGAAATAAGACAATCACATAAAGGCCAGTTTTCCACGGGTTCATTCAAAATAACTTCCTCTTCAAAAACTACTACTGTGATGTATTTAAACAACGAGATCCGTTCCAGAATTTCCTTCATGGGTTTGGATTTGGATTTCTTTGCCATGGAACATATTCCAACCACAATCTGCCTTTCTGGTGGCTAAAACAGAAAGAAAACAGGATGACAGGTTGTCCTAATAGGAGTTCTAAAATATTGCTATTGAAGTTTCTTTTCAGAAGTAGACTTGGGATAGGAATCAGTAAAACTGACATATTCACTACTGAAGTCAGCAAAATTCTATCACTTATAATACTTTACAATTAAAATAAATTTTAATAAAAAACATCTTCAGCATATTGCTACTGTTTTGAATTAAGTTTAAAATACAAAAAACATTTCTTCTTCACCTGCTTCCAGCATTTACTTAATTATCTTCAGGCAGAAAAATACAAAGCTCCATCTATTCCAACTAAAAAGTCCAATAAGAGGCAGATAAAGAATTCTGTTGTTTAAAATCAAATGCATTTCCAACTATAAAGCTGCACAGTATTAAGTCTTCTCATAGACTGAGCTGGGACATTAGCTGGTCACAGATAGCTTTCTGAACTTAGAGAAAGGCTCACTGCTAAATGCCAATGAACTTTGACACTCCCTCAAACATTCCTCCTTGGCATTCCTACTTAATGATCTCGTTAATCTTTGTACTTGTAACCAAATCAACGTTCAAACTTGAATGCACACAGCATATCAACAGTAACATACTGAGGACCTCTAGCTCACAAAATTCTGTTATATTTATTGTTGATTCTTTGCACTTCATCTTGGCCTTTTCATTCCAGAGCTTAAGAGTTCTATCAACCACATAAGGCTGCATCTAGTTCTTTTCTCTTTCATGACTTTATGTATTTTATACAACACTATATAAAGATGTTCAAAGGTGGTTGATAAAACTTCCCCTTAAATGTAGCAATAAAAATTTGGGGATTAAATTGTTCTTTTCTTTTTACATTTAGAAAAATAATTCTACATTGACTCTTCTAACATGAAAACTGGAGTTCAAATGAGTATTAGAATTGATAATAAATCAGACAATATAATAGCAACCATTCTGGAATATCCTATCTCTGACTTCCCCCATCGTCCAACTTAAGGTCCCTGTTCATTTTAATCCTCATCAAGAATCTTGAAAGGGCTCACTATCACCTTTCTAATAAAGATTTCATAGGTCAACTCTACTGGTTATTTCTCACAGCTCCAATAAAGTTTGTGACAAGAATATCTGTGGAGGACTTATTTCCTCGGGATGATCAAGGCTCACCCACAGTTGCTTAGTGAGAACATCACTGCTACAGAAAAAACGTCTCCTGACAGGAGGTTGAAAGAGTTTGACTCCACATAGCCCTCAAAGGCACGCCCTCAGTGACTTCTCTATAAACAGTTCTGCTCTTCTCACAGACACAAATAACTGTCTAATCACGATGGCATTTCGATCTTACCACTCTTACCAAGCAAGACAGGTTTTTCTTTTAAAATGAGATACTATTTTTAATTTGATATTCAAGAGAAAAAAATCAACATATAGTTTATGTCTGCATTTCAAATCAGTTCCCAAAACAGAATAGTCTCTGCCTGAGGGCAAGGAGAATGAGAGCTAGGACACACAGTGAGCACTACAACAAGGAATTGAATGTTAACAGATGTCCTCCATCTCTATGCGACAGGACGCACAGGACACTGGATACATTAGTGTCTTACACACATGCAGCCTTTCAGATGGTCTTGCAGAACATCTTAAACTTAATTAGTTCCTTAGTATCTTACAGCAACTCTAAACTGTCATTAAACGACGTAAGGGTCTTATTGCTAGCTACCTTCATTACACTGTTTAATATCCTGTTAGTCATATTACTTATACTTTTTTAATTTAAGACGTTTTAAAACAAATTTGCACATTAAAAAGTAGTCTTATTTAAAAATCACAGTATTCATTTGTATTAGGAGTAATCAATGAACATTCTGCACTGCACTGGTTTAACACGAAAGCAAGAAACAACTTACAGACTCATCCTCCTCCTCCTCGTCTTCATCAGCATGGTGGAAGAAGCGGCGATAGTTTCCAGGATTGATTTCTGCATCTTCAGGCCCAACAAAGAATCTGGGGGCTTCACTCATTTTTCTTCAATTTGATATACATAAAGTTTAAATAATCTATACTAAAGCTGCTTTATATAAATGGTGTCAGAAGAACACATTCTCGCTCTGCCAGCTGACACTCAGGTCTGCTGCAGCGTTTTCACACGATCACATGAAATGTGCTGACATTTAGTTGGCCAGTGCGCCTTTGTTCTCAGATATCATTGCTTCATTGTTGAACTCCCAGTTGCTGTTGCAGTTTAAAACGCAAGGACAATGAGGCTGCTGATTGCCTGGGTTGGAATAGTTATCCTCCTTTTACCTAAAACACAACGCAGGCAGTTAATTTCAGGCGAGTTCTTCAAAAATACTCACAAAAAAATAATTTTAAATAATATTAGAAAATCAGGTCCAGTAACTTGACAAAGACCACCAAAACAATAATCTATCTCCCTGCATAAAATCAAGTAATGAAGATTATAGTCCAGAAAAATATATCAGAGCAAGTGGATAAGATGACACAACATGACAAAAAGACCATACTCAATTCAAATCCAAAAAGTACCTGATGAGAAAATGATGTAAATTATAAAACAAAATTTTGTTAAAAAGTCAAACCTTCGGTCCTGAAGTATCTGAAAGGAGTAGACAAAGACAGACAAAACACAGCTTTTCTGTATTAATCAGTGAACTGAAAACAAGACTTCATTCAGCTCTTCTCAAACTGAGGGCTTAAAACTATTTAGCAAATCTAGAACAATTACGACAGCAAGCCTAGAAAAATTTCTACAGCCTCCTTATATAATATGCTTGTCCAGAAACTGTATGTGATTCAATGACACTCCCATATAAAAATCCAACATGAAAATCCATGAGTTAGCTATCATATGCTAATGGAATAATCTCAAACTATTCCTTACAAAGCTATTTACATGTATTTGAACACTGCTGATATTAAAATTAGTTATTTGCCAAGACGAAATTGTATATCAAATACTTCATTTAATGACTGGTGATATTAAAATTAAACAATATGCTAGATAGATGTACAAAGCACAATACAAAACTTTTATTTCTAGAAGCCTGATTAAAGTTTAACTCGTAGCTTTCAATAAAACATAAAATACAATCAGTTTACTCAGTAAGCTTTGGCTTTAGAAAATTGTTAGGAAAGTTGAAATCACTTACAATTAGACCTGAAAGAAGAAATAATTTATTCATTAAAAATGCTTTTTGTTTTTACTTCACTACACTATTTAATATTAAAAAGTGTTTCTTATTAAGAAAAAAATCCACAACCTTCGGTAACTTCACAGCAGATCAGTTCAGCTCGGCTTTGCAGTTACACTAAATCCATCCTTGGGGCCTGTGTTTATCTTCTTTCCATTAAACATATCAAATACTTTAGTAGCAGAAAGAGCCTTTGCTTGGAGTCACCTATACCAATCTATTACCAACAACTAACAACTTATGTTAGCATTTCTGAATCTATCCACCCCCTCAGCTGTGTGTGTGTGTGTGTGTGTGTGTGTGTGTGTGAGAGAGAGAGAGAGAGAATGAGAGTATACCAACAAGAGAGAGAGAGAGAGAGAGAAGAGAGAGAGAGAGAGAGAGAGAGAGAGAGAGAGAATGAGAGTATACCAACGGCCTCTAACTGTGAAGACTGAGGTAGCATAGTACGTCACACAGAAACACTTAATAAACCTATATTTACTAACATAACATGAATATCTAAAGGAATACTGAAGGATATCTGTTGATATAAATAAATAAATGTATTAATTCAATAAATACTATTTACTTCTTATAGAATCACTTAAGGTTAAACAATATATCCCTAGTTTAAGTATCCTAACAAAAATGACTTATGTAATAACCTCATTTTAGAGGTAGTGCTATAGGGCTATTTTTTGCTGTTGTTGTTGTTTTCTGGTTTTCCCCCCATTTAAATATTCTTTGTGAAATGCCTAGAATTATATAAATGTAAACTTTTTGAAAAACCCAGTCAAGAAGACAATGACCAGTGGCAGAAATATAATTATTATTGCTATTTGGAAAATACTGGTTTGCAGGGTTGGAGAGATGGCTTAGTAATCAATAGCACTGGGTGGTCTTCCATAGGTTCTGAGTTCAATTCCCAGTACCTCCATGGCAGATCACAGGGTAGTCTCATGGGATTCGATGCCTCTTCTGGTGTGTAGACATACACACCATGCAGACAAAAAACATCCATCTATATTAAATACATAAGTAAATCTTAAAGGCAAACAAGCAAACAACTTACGGGTTTGTATTTCATACCACTCTTTCAATGAATAGCTGACATTGGGAGCAGAAATCATCAAAGATAACAAGGGGTGAAGGCATGTACATCACTTTGATTTTTCTCCCCAAACAACATGGGTTAGTAGCTGATCTGCTGCCCCACTTCCAAAGCACACATCTCTTAGGAAGTTCAGTTGAGTCTTTAATGCTGCCCAGATGACAAGAGTTCATGTCCTCTACACAACTGTAAGCGTATGCCCTAGAACCTGGTCTTCTATAATGACTGGAGAAAGACAGGGGTAGATGAGCCAATGAAGGAGCACATGTCAGGAAGTCATCTCTGATCACATGACACTGGATCAAAGCCAGAGGGTGATACATTGAGATCATGTGGGGCAAGAACCTGAAATATTAAAGCACAAGTATACTTAGTGTATTTCCTGTGTTCAAAGACTAGCCAAGGAAAAAGTGGAGAATATGATGTTAAAGATGGAACAAAGGTGCATTCAGAGTACTGAGGGTAAAATCATTTTCTGAACTACACCTGAGAAAGCAGGTGAGGAAGAAGAGGTTAGACAGTGAAGAATTTTGTTTGAATGGCAGGCAGAACAATTATCCCTCCGTAAAATATAAGGCTGGGTGAGGCTTTCATTTATTTTTCTATAATTCTATTAAAAGCTGAACAATTAGTGCTTAGAAATATGAACTTAGGAGTCAAGATACCAATGTTATATTCTTGTCCTTTAAAATTGTATTTGAACTCTTGGGCCCTCAATTTACTTCTATGTAAACTGTACCTGTCATATCCTACATAAGGGCTAAATATATATTCATACATTAAAGATATCTGTACTCTAAATTCTGGACGTACTCCATCTCAATTAACATGTTTGAGTAGGACTCCACCATTTAAGGTTTTTCAAGCAATTCCAACAAGTAGCCATGAAAGAGAAAAGAAAATGGAAAGAACAGAAGCAGCAGGAAGAGAAACACATGTTCACCATTTTCATGACTGTGCACCATTGATAGTACAGAAAATCAGTCTATCTTCTTGTCTTACTTAGGGTTTTACTGCAGTGAACACATGCCATGACCAAGGCAAGTCTTATAAGGATATTTAATTGGGTCTGGCTTACAGGGTCAGAGGTTCAGTCCATTATCATCAAAGCAGGAGCATGGCAGCATCCAGGCAGGAATGGTACAGGAGGAGCTGAGAGATCTACATCTTCATCTGAAGGCTGCTAGCAGGATACTGACTTCCAGGCAGCTAGGACTAGGGTATTAAAGCCCACACAAACAGTGACACACCTACTTCAACAGGGCTACACCTTCTTCTAATCATGCCACTCTCTGGGCAAAGCATATACAAACCATCACATTCCACTTCCTGGCCCCCATAGGCTTGTCCAAACATATGACCACACCTAAACATAGCATAATAAAAAATACATTTAGTCCAACTTCTAAAGTCCCCATAGTCTATAGCAGTCTCAACAATGGTAAAAGTCCAAAGTTCAAAGTCTCTTCTGCAATTCATCCAATCACTAAATTGTAATCCTCAAAGCAAGACAGGAAACCAGCTGGGCAAACTCCAAACGCTGAATCTCTTGGCTGATGTCAAAGCAGTCTTCAGATCTCCAACTCCTTTTCATCTTTGTTGTCTGCAACAAACTTCTTTCTCCTGGGCTGGTTCCACTCCTTGTTAGCAGCTTTCCTCAGTAGATAGATAACCCATGGTTCTGGCATCTCAAACATCTTGGGGTCTCCAAGGCAACTTCAATGTTACAGCTTCTTGTTTCAGTGTCTGGGATCCACACATGGCCTACTAGGCTCCTCTAAAGGGGTGGCATCACTTCTCCAGCTTTGCCCTCTGTAGCACTTTGATCCACTCCACTGCCAATGCTGTTCTTGGTGATCAGCCATGGTACTGGCATCTCCAATACTCTGGGGTCTTCTGCTGCAACTAGGCTTCACCAATAGCCTCTCATAGGTTCTCTTCATGGTGCCAAGCCTCAATTCCTTTGCATGACCCCTTCAGTCCTGGGCTGTCAACTGCAAATGGGGCTGTACCTTTACCAATGACCTTCCATAGCCTCTCACAGTGCTGAGCCTCAGCTGCTCTTCATGACCCCTTCATGTCTTCAAATCCAGTACCACCCAGGTGACTCTTAAACATTACCAAATACAGCTGCAGCACGAGGTACAACCTTTGGCTATCTCTGGAACACAACTTCTTTGTGTTCTCAGAAAACATTTCCCAGAAGATTTCACCTCAATGATGCTGGTCCCTTCTTAATCATCACTAATTTTTTAGTTCCAGCGAACCAGCATCAATTGTCCCAATAGTCTCTTTCTTTTCTTCAGTATAATGCCAGAGTCACATGCCCGAATCTGCTAAGGTCTGCTGCTTGCTGGAGCTGGAACATAGCCCCGATGTTCTATTCCATTATCACTAGCTTCCTCTTTTCCAACTCCTTCACTGTCTAAGCTTGGCTGTCCTGGATCTTGCTCTGTAGATTGACCTTGAACTCAGAGATCTGTTTGTCTGTCTCCTAGGATTAAAGGAATGTACCATCATGCCTGGATTTAAGCTTTTCTTCACCTAGAACTTGCTCTCTCAGGCTGGCCTTGAACTCAGAGATTTGCTTGGCTTTTTATCCCCTGGGATTACAGATCTGCACCACCATCCCTGGGTCTAAATTTAGCTAGGTAGGATCTTGTGCCAAAGTCCCACTCCCTTAATTTGCTATCTCCTAGAACACAGGATTTGGCTCCATTTCACTTCCTGGTGCCCCTTTAATATTCGAACCATGTGTTTTATGTTTTTCCTTTCTAAGCTTGCTACACTCATTTAAAATCTTCTTCTTGAGACTTAACCAAAAAACAAAGTCTATGATGGGTGGGCGATTCTGAGACTTCCTTTGTCAATGCAATTAGTCTGAGTCTCTTCACCTTAGCCTCAGGCAACTCTTCAGACAAGGGCAAAAAGTAGCCACATTCTTCACCAAAATACCACAAAAACAGTCTCTAGACTACATTCTGAAATTCTTCTTCACTAAAACCTCTTGGGCCAGGTCTGCACAGTTCAATTCATACCCAGTAGCAACATCTTCCATATTCCATAGGATAGACCATTAAGCCCAACTTTAAGCATTCCACTGCTTTCCAAAGCCCCAAAATCCACATTCCTCCAAACAACAGCATGTTCAGGTTGTCACAGGGATACTCCACTATGCTGGTACCAATTTGTCTTAGTCAGGATTTCTATTCCTGTACAAAACATCATGACCAAGAAACAAGTTGGGGAGCAAAGGGTTTATTCAGCTTACACTTCCACACTGCTGTTCATCACCAAAGGAAGTCAGGAAGCAGGAGCTGATGCAGAGGCCATGGAAGGATGTTACTTACTGGCTTGCTTCCCCTGGCTTGCTCAGCTTGCATTCTTATAGAACCCAAGACTACCAACCCAGAGATGGCACCACCCACAATGGGCTGGGCCCTCCCACCCTTGATCACTAATTGAGAAAATGCCTTACAGCTGGATCTAATGGAGGTATTTTTTCAAGGGAGGCTCCTTCTTGGTGATAACTCCAGCTTGTGTAAGTTGACACACAAACCAGCCAGTGGACTCCTATAACAAAAAAGGATATAAGCTGAAGAAGCAGAGTCTCCATCTGACCAGTGCTTGGCTTATCTCGAATAGTAAGTACTCCTTCACAAACTTTACCAGCTTCCAAGATTTCATCATTCATTTGATCTTGGTTACCTACAATCGTCTTATTATAGAATAGCCTGGGGTGTATATAACTCTCCAAAATATAAAAATAGGTTTTAGATGCAGGGCTTCCTAACATGTTGCTCAACAATAAATGCAGGTTCAGGCATGCTAAGACATTGTCTGAGCCACTCAGATGGCTTTAATGCCCGCCTCAGGTAATGAGCAGCACTATCTTTAGATTTGTCTATGATACATTTTCAATAGATGTCTTAATGTAAAAAAAAAAAAGATAGGAAGCAATAACTACTTCCCAAATGAATGATCCCTCAATCATCTTTGGATTATTTATAAGTATTTGAAGTACATAGATAAATGTTTATCATTTCAATAGTACTGAACAGGTGAGGCTCAAGTGTTTCAATAATCTATATTAATCAATCAGTTATCACATAATTAATAAAAAAGTGCAAAGCCAGTTCTGTTTAAATCTAAGGTCACAAATCCAAGCAACAACAAGAACAGCAACAACAACACAAATATAAGAACAACCACCACCAACAAAACAGAACTTTATTGTTCTTTATTATATTGTAGATATTCAATAAATTCTATGAAAATATGAAGTATTTTTCCCCTCTCATGTGGTATATGGTTCCCAACAAAATGAAATTTAAGGCTAATCTGAGGAGATCTAGAACATTCTCATGATTATTTCACTTGGAATCCTACAACTGACTATGGCCATAGCATTGCACAATACTCAACAATTTGATCCATGTTCAGTCACAAGTTCCAGTGATAGTAAATGCCTAATGTGAAATATCCATGGATTATTCAAATATCAGAATTGAACCTTTCTTTAGTTTGCTTTTGTAGCAACGGTCCCCAAATAGAGTGGTTACATCATAATAATAAACACATTACTGGCCTATTACAAAAACCTTTGATCAGGAATTCTTAAGTAGAGAATTTGTATTTTAATGAACAGACAGCAAACTAGGTTTGAGATGTGTGCAAAAAAAATATAAAAGACTTAACACTAGTTAAAAATTGAAATGTGTTTTCAGTTAACTAGTTTCCACACATGCCACGCGGCAACTAGGAGACCTTACCATCTATGAGAAGCACTTGGTGGAGCTACTCAACTGTCAAGTCTAGCTTTGAGCCCAGTCCTCTGCCTTCCTGAGCCTCCAAGGAGATGCTGACACTGCTGGAGCCTCACTTTAAGAACTGCTCCACGCTAGCAAGATTAACTTTAACTCTTGCTCCCCGCCCCAAAATTACTGAAGAGCTCTAGGCAGCAGACAGAACTCGGTTATACATCGAAGACAGTTTTAAAGATTAAATGAGCACACAGGCAGCCAGAACAGCTAGAATGCAGTAAGGACTCTGTAAACATTAGCTGTTCCTATAACCGGCTAACTGTGGTTGTAAGGAAGACTTTTCTGACTTTAACTGGCAAAAAACCAAACATAAGCAACTCAGCTCAGAATGTGCCTCCTGGCAAAGGCTGCCTGCTCAGATCCTCTTGTGATGGTCTTTGTGGAGACCTTTTTACACGGCTCCAGTCTTACTTGGCTGCTCTAGACTGGACTACCTACTGCCCTGGACAAACAGTCCTCTCTCTCACATGTTTACTCATTCTGGCTAGAGCTGCCTCTTCCTTAAATCACCCTGAATAAGCCATCAATCCTGTACAGTATTTAGAGCTTCCTTACACATGTCTCCCAAGCTATCTTCCCATAGGTTCCACTACAATCCAGAAGTCCAGCCACGGAATTAGTAAATTTCCACTCCAAAAAAAAAAAAGGAAACTGGAGCTCCAACAACTGCTGTTCAACGACAAAATACATAACCGGTTTTCCTGAGATCCCAAAGCATTTTCCAATGGAAACATTATTATAAATGATAGCTAAATTCCAAGACACTAGGAAGAAGTTACATTAAAAGTGTTAAATACTGGCTTCTTCCTGCTAGGAAAGGCAAACTAGAATAGTTTTTTGATTACATGAACCAAGACAGCTCCAAGTTCCATACAACTTTGGCAATGATTGATTTGATTCCCCTCCCTCTTCAAAAGGTATACCTCTTTCTGCTGAGTCAGCCCTTCTGCCTGGAATTTACCTTTCTGCTGAGTTAGCTCTTTGGTTTGGAATTTATAGCCATCTTAGAGGAAGTTCCTATTCTCCTTGAAATAAACTGGAAGACTTCAAAGAATGCTTGCCAGACTATTCTCATGCATCTACCAAACCTCAAACATATTTCTTAACCTTTCCATCTCCTTGTGCTCCATAAATACCTTTCCCAGTGATCTGTTTCTGTGGGAGTTCAGGGTTTTGTTTTTAATTATCAAACATTTCAAATTATCGGAAAGACTGAATGAACTACTCCTATGTCTAGTATTAGATTCAATATTCTATCAATTGTTCAATTTAATACACTTATAATTACTTAAAACTTCACAAGCTTTGATTGTACAATTTTGAGCCTTCTGTTTATCAGCTTTACCACTTGCTTTTACAAAAAAATAGCCTATGCTGGAGAAAAAACATTCATCAGCAGTCTGAAATATTTAATTCTACATCACATACAGAAGTTGTACAGAGATCATGACTGTCATTTGTTTTACACACACACACACACACACACACAGGAACACTATGGATAATGTTAGTGAAGCACACCCTGATAATGTTAGTGAAGAAACTGGAATAACCAGTGCAATGGCGGGACAATAGAATACAGATGTTGGATTCGAATCTAGTTTCTACTAAACACTCAAAGGTTTACCCATGGCAAACTGTTACCAGGGTAAGTTACACAACATCACTAATTTTCCATTTTTCAGTTTAAAAATATAATAACCTAACAACCTTCACAGGACTCTTGAAAGAATGAATATATGTGCAAAGCATGTGGTAAAGTTACACATTAATAGCAGCTATCGTTATATTATTGCTCTAAGACCACAGATTTCAGTTAAAAAAAGAAAAAAACAAAACCGTAATACCGAAACAAAATCCTGCTCTGGTGTAGGCTTGGACGCTAATGCTGAAGTCAGCCATGCTTCCTATTTCTACAGCTAAGTCTTTCAGGTCTTCCAGGACGCAGAAAGCAAAACGACCATTACTACGAAACTCTAAGAATGGTAACTCTCAGGAAGTTGCCAAAACCTCGAAGATGAGATCCAAAGGTCATTACCTACACAGAAGGACGCAAAGCTGTCTAATCGATAAGGAGCGGCGGGTGCGGCGTTGACCTGCAACCTCGTATCTTACAGTGCAAATGCTGCAGCACTCAGTGCTTTTGTTCTTTGGAAGTGGGTGTGGAAAGCAAAGACAGAGCGAAGAACTGGGAATGAAACAGACACTTCTCCGCACCGAAGAACCCAAACAACGCTTCACACCTCGGTGGAAGGAGATCCAAATACAAAGAGAACTTGGATAGCTCCCTACTAGCTGGACTGCAACTTTGGGCTTTTCAAACTCTAGAAGTGAAAAGAGGAAGCGACGCGGGAAGTGGAGAAGAGATCAAACCTAAAAAGGACCCTCGGGTTGTACTGTCACTCGTCCAAAACCACACTGCTGTTCGCGACTGTTCGTGGCTCTTGCAAGAGCACGTGTCTAAGCTCGGCAGAGTGGAGCGGAGACAAAGCAAACACCTGGGGGCGGCGGTGAGCCTCTGGCTCCGATAGATGTCGGATGTCCGGGTCCTCACCTGCCACGGCTGCGGTCATCAAGCGATCTGTGGAAGATGCTTGAGCCCATCCAGGTTTCGGTTCCTCCCCTTTAGTTGCGGGGGCAAGGGTAGGATGTTCGTGCAGAGGCGGCTCTTGGAGGCGTGGACCTGGATCTTCCCTCTCCAGCAGCAGCGGAACGGCTGGCACGGGTACACCTCAGGAGCCGCGGACACGCCTCTTCCCTGCCCGCCCTCCACAGGTCTCACATGGAAACTGCACCGGCCAGAACAGTTTCCGGCGGACCAACGATCCGCTAGAGCCTTCCTGTTCCACAGCGCCCACCCGAACTCCGACCCCGGTAGTTCCGCTTCCGGCAGCACCAGATAAATCGCGAGAGGAGAGTTAAAACCTGCCGTTTGCATTTAGGACCACTTCGGTGAGTGGTCGTTCTAGTGTGTTCTGTCATACCTATTTTTCTTTTTCTTTTTTTCTTTTTTTAAACTGAGACGTAACCTTCCAGTAACTTTAAAACGGTCCCCTTCGACTGCTCTAAGGACGGGTTGGACTAGTGGAGGTTTCGCGCAGGCGCCGTTGGGACGGGAGGGTCTTGAACCTCACAGCGCCGCAGATGGTGGCTGCAGAGAGGCGAGGACTGTTGGGCTCAGGGAGGTGGCAACTCGGTGTAATTGAGATGTCAACGGTCCTTTTCCTGCTTATCCAAGGATTAGCTGGACCTAGCCTCAGGGGTCAGTTAACGAGGTGTCAAAAGGCTTCAGAGCGCTCCCTCGCCGGCGGCGGCGAATGCTGAACTGTGTTCAGAAGTCCAGTGCGGCGCTTGTCCGAAGCTGGAGGAGTCTCGTCCTGCATCGTAGTCACCGTTCAGTGTGAACAAGTACACCAGAGTAAAAGAACGAGCTCAAGGGGTGACTCTTAAAGCTCTAAAAGGAAAATACACTTTTAAAAATCCCCTTGAATTCTCTCTTCGGGGACAGAATAGAACCTCGATAGAGAACCTCGGTAGAGAATTTTCAAAAATGGACATGAATTTGTCCTGTGTGGCTTTATTTGTATGCATATGCAAGTAAAAGGATTTCTTCACTTAAGCGAGGCAGGATATACGGTCTGGAGTATTGCCCCCTGTCTTCTCCCAGCTTCTTCTCAGTTAATATGTAAATTGTACAGGTTCAGTTTTCAGAAATTGAAGCAGAATAATTCAAAACTCGGAATCCTAATCTCAAATTACTGTTTATTAAAATATTACAACTTTTATGTTTTTAAGTTGGAATACAAACTTCCTGGAACCCTTCATTGGCTTTAATGGTAACTTCATGCTAAAAAAAAAAAATCCTTATTTAAAGGAATAGTTAAACCTTTTAATTTTATTGGATACACAAGATAAAATTATAGAAGCTAAGCAATGTGTATCGGTAAAAATATTTGTTGTTTTTAACATTGTACAAGGAACATGCTGTAAAAAACCTCATCAGATGTCCTGATGAAATTGCAACACTTAGAAGATGTGATGAGCCATTTTCAATAGTTTTTCTGATTTCTAAACTAGAAGTTCTAAAGAAGTTGTGATCAGCTGTCTTTAATACATTTTTTAATTCCTAAATTCTTGAGAACTTAATATTTTTAAGTCCCAAAATATTTTATATCTGTGATTTTTCCCCATTTTATGCAGTTACTGTTTCTCCTTTTCATCTGTTTCTACCTCAAACACAGCAGTTGATGAACTACATAAAACAGTAATAAAAGTCATTATAAAGTCTATACAACTGGGAGGCTGAGGCAGGAGGATCAACATGAGTGTGAAGCCAACCCTGTCTACCTAGTTCCAGGACAGCCTTGGCTACAGATATCCTTAAACAGGACAGAAAAAAAGCAAGTAACATCTCTCACAAGGTCTTCTGGAGTTTACCATTAACAGTAAAACAGATAATGTTCTAAAATATTGATCACAATGAAATATTTTATAATATCTTTCCATAGATTTTAAGAAAGAAGGTTCCATTACTTTAAACAACCTGAATGAAAATATATAAGTAAAACAATGATTTATATCATTTTACCATTTGTAAAAGACTTCTAAAAATGCATTATTTCATCTTTTTGTTTTTTTAGAAAAGGAGGGACAATTATTATGTCCTTTTGTCCAAGCATGGTCACTAAGACCTAGATAATTGTCACACACGTGAAATTCTTACTTCCGGTTCCATGCCCTGCAAATATCCCATCCACATGTGTTTCTGTATTCTCAGCAACAGCGTGCAGCTCCTTTGGTAACACTTAATACTCTCAGGTTTGCTGTCTGTGTTTGTGTACTCAGGCTTTTATGGCCACACTTGACATTTTTGCATTGTCTAGTAATGTTGAACATTTCTCACATGCTTATTAATGATAGTTCCTTCTCAGATTCTTGCTTCATATCTTGTGCCATGTTTAAAGTTAGGTTGTTTACTTTCTTTTTAAGGTTTTAGAAGTCTTCATCAATTCTTTGTCATGGATAGGTACTATAACTCTTCCCTCAAGTGTGCGTTTTTCTTAGCAGTGTCTTTTTTTAAAACTTCAGCTATGATGCCTTATACTTGTTCCTTAGTATAACATAAACTGGGAAGCATTTTATTTATCTATTTATTTTCTCTCCTGGAAATATTGTCATTTTAGCTCTTAAGTATGAGTCTATGGCCCATTGCCAGCTGACTTTCACATGTACTGTGAGATATGCATTGGAGTTCTTTTTTTTTTTTTTTACATATATGGGTGTTTAATTGTTCCAGCATTTCTTGAAAACTATCAATTCTTTGGTACCCTAGTTGAAAATCATTTAACCATATCTGAGTGATTGTTTCTATCCACTGTTCTGTCCCATGGACCAACGGTTGCCATTTTACCACTCACACAGCCTAGCCTTAAGATGTGAAATTTTTTTTTTACATTTATCATTTTTTCATAGTCACTTTAACTCTTCTAAGTATTTTGGATTTTACATATCAATTTAGAATTAACTTACCGGTTTTATAAAAGATGGGGTAAAAATGAAAATCATTTCTTTTTGAAATGTCTATGAAAACTGTGTCTAGAATATAAAAAAACTGTAAGTCACTCCCATCCTAACGGAGACTAAAGCTAGATAATTGGATAACCTGCCAGTTCTCCACAAATTGGAATTGTGTCAGATCAGTTTGAGGGGAGTTAGAATGTTAATGAAGTTACCTGATTTTCATGCTTGCCTTATGTATTTTTTAAATGTTGCCCGATCTTCTGAAGCACATCATGCCTTCAGTCCTGTACCTTGGTTCTCTTTCTCTATTGTTATAACTAACTTTTGGGGATTATACCCTTCATGAAAGCCAAATCCCTTTGTTTCCTTGAGCATAAGGTAAGCAAATAAAAGAGATACAAATAGGAAAGGAAGAGGTCAAAGTATCTTTATTTGCAAATCAAAAACTCTTAGAATTGATTAAAGCATTTGGAGCAGCTGACAGGATCAAAAGTACAAGAATCCATAACCTTTCCCTAAAGGCTTACCAGATGTGCTAGGGACAGGAGCAAGGCTAAGGGCTCATTCACAGTTGTTTAAATCATAACACAGCCTTGCAGTAAACTTCAGCAACCAGGTCAAAGAGATCTGTAACACGAACCGGGAAGTCAAGCTGGGGTGGTTGGAGGCAGGCAGATATCTCTGAGTTCAAGGCTTGTGTGATCTACATGGGGAGTTCAAGACTGGGCAGGGTGACACAGTGAGACCCTGCCTCAAAAACAAAACTAAAGAAACTAACAAAAGGACCAGCCTGGAAGAAGACTCCTGTCTATGCTCTTAGATAACAAGAATTTGTGCTATGAAATGACTATCATACAAAAACAGTGCAATCTCAATGCTGATATTCACAACACTTTAAAAAAGTCAAGTCATTTGGAAACACAAAAGCCCTTAAGATGACCAAGTCAACCCTGAGCAAAGACAGAAAAGGTAGAAGATACCACTATATCTGATTTTATGTTACAGAACTGTAGAAACAGTACCAACATTGTACTGACACAAGTTCCAGAGTTGAACCTATGCAGCTAGAGTTAAATGACTTTTGACAGATATGCCAAAAATTCCTGTAGTAAAGACAGCCTCCTTTACCAATGGGGCATGGAAAAGTGGAAATCTACCTGTAGAAGAGCAAAACCTAGAGTTTTATTTCTTACCTTGTACAAAATTAACTTCAGATATCTCAAAGACTTTTAACATGAGACCTGAAACTCTGAAACTGCTAGAGAAAAAAACCTAGGGAAAATATCCAGGCATTGAGGACTCTCTGGAAGGAAGGGCAACATCAGAAATGATGCTGGAGTAGTTAATATTGTCAATTTGACAGGATCTGGAATTACCTGGGAGACAAATATCTGCCTTTGGGGGATTACCTCGATAAAATCAGTTGAGGTGGGAAGATCTACTGTGACTGGCATTCCTGCTCTAAAGTTCATGGGTGCTCAGCTTTTAGGGGAATGGGTGTGCTCCACTGCCTCACAAGAGCTGACTGATTTCATTGTCATGGGACACTGGGCTGTCTAACTGTGACCCAGAATAAATCTTTCTTCCTCGTTCATTTTAGAGTAACAGTGACACAGTAGCTAATGTGGACACCTCACACAATTGAAAAGGTTCTACACAGTGAAGGAAGCAGTTGAGTGAAGATAGCCTGCGTGATAGGGAAAAATCATGACCAAGTATACCACTGGTAGAGGATTAAATACTAAGGAAAAAGTAAAGAATCCAATTTTACAAATGGATAAAGGACTGAGCAGAAAATTCTCAAAAGAGAAATACAAGTAATCAAAACTATGCTTTAAAATTGTTGAACATCTTTATCCACTAGGTAAATGCAGATTAAAACAAATTTGAAATTCCATCTTAGACCATTAAGGTCACCATCTTTAAGAGGTCAAATGGCAACAAAAGCTCGCAAATGTGGGAGAAAGGGCGCTCTTACTCAGTTATGGTGGGGCACTGGTGAAGCACTATGAAAGTAAGCGTGGGTCCTCACAACTAAAACTGGATCCAAATCTCTGGCTTCTGGGCATATCCCAGCGTATCTGAGTCTTTTCACAGAGACATGGGAAGCATATATTTTTGTTCTATTCACATTCATAAGGAAATCGATCAGTGCCAATGTCCATCATAGAATGTGTGGGTAAGGAAAGTGTAGAACACACATGCTATGGACTTTTATTCAGCCATAGAGAAAAATGAAATTATGAAAATTTCAAAAGCAAACCACAAGGAATGGAACTGAAAAATACTGTGCTAAAGTAAGTTAGCTCAGGCTGAAAACAACAGATATTACATGTTCTCCTGTGTGTAGACGTATTCTCTTAGCTCTAATTTTAAGACATAAATGTGTTCATTTAGGGTCGGTTATGAGTACTAGCCAGGAAAGGAGAAAAAGTGTCCATAATGAGGGACAGGAGGTTCTAAGGGAGGTGATAGAGACCAGTTAAAAAGAGAATTCAGAGAGTGTGAAGGTGTAAGAGGAGTAGGGAGAGTGGAGAGGGGAGTGAGTGAGCTGTGGGGCTGACAGGAACTAAGTGTGAGTGAGAATTTCATACAGAATCCTACTACCTTACAAGCTACTGTAATAATAGTAATAATGGTTTAAATTGTAATAAAGTACTCATCCACTAGATAGTTCTTCAGTGACAGGGTCTTAAGGGGAATGAGCAGGACATGAGAAGAAAAAGAAGATAGTAAGGCCAGGATCAGGAACCTTGCCAAAGCTGATGGCTTATGCCAAGCAGGTTTATTAAGAAGTACAGCATCGCCGGGCGGTGGTGGCCGCAAGCCTGTAATCCCAGCACTTGGGAGGCAGAGGCAGGCAGATTTCTGAGTTTGAACCCAGCCTGGTCTACAGAGTGAGTTCCAGGACAGCCAGGGCTATGCAGAGAAACCCTGTCTCGAACCCCCCCCCCCAAAAAAAAAAAGAAAAAGAAAAGAAATACAGCATCTTAAAAAAAGAAGTCTGGGGGAGCAATGGGACCACGTTAGTGGAAGGTGTTATGTTGCTAATCAAGTAATGTTGCACAAAGGGAACACTGAGTAGCTCAAGAGCACCACAGACTGAGTCCACAGCGGCCTTGGCACTCCTTATCCATGGCTCCTTTCAGTGGCAAGACTTAGGTTCTCCAGACCTAACGTACCCCGGGGCTCTGACCCCAAGCATGTTCCAGATTTTAGAGAAGGAACTGTTCCTCCCCACATCAGGGCCTCAGGGAAAAGCTCCAGAGTCCTGGTTTAGGCCTCTTACTGGCTCTGCCAAGGACTGTTAGATAGTAATTCCTCTATCAACCACCCTAGCCTTAGGTCCTAGAAACCACCATTCTAATTTAATATGAATTTGAAAACTTTTGCCTTTTTAAAAAAATTATTTAGCATAATGTTCTCAAGATATATCCATGTTTTTGCATGTGTTAGAATTAGCTCTTTTTAAAGGCTGAGTAATATTTCATTATGTGTACATGCCATATTTTTTATATTTTTTTGTCACTGGGTACTTAGGTCCCTTCCAGTTTTTAACTACTATGAATAAAGCAGCTTGAGTTTAGCTTTCAAAATCATCTCTAACCTCACTACTATGTAAACTTCACAAGGGTCAGGGGGCTATGCGTTTTTGTTGGTTATCATTATATCTCCAATTTTGTGTCTGTCATGTGCCAGATAATCATGTATATGTGTGTGTGTTGGGGGTGAGGGTAGTCTGTCGCTCTGCCCTTCTTTCTATGTATGGATAACCAGGGCTTTATACATCCTAGAAAAGTATCATCCCGCTAAGCTACATGCCCTGCCATGGGTCATCCTTTTAGAGAAACCATGATAGTTACATGTTTCATTTGCTTGAAGTATAGCCATCTTCTATAAAGGGCTAACAGCTCTAGTTGAAAGTGGGATATTCAAGGTATGACAATGCATGCCTCTATTTCTAGGACTTAGGGCTAAGGAAGGAGGATGACAAGTCTCAGGGTTCCAGGAAAAAACAGAAAGTACATTCTTGGGATTTTGAAGAAATTACTGTACTGATGTTCCTGATTTCATTGTTGTGGAGAGAAAGTGCTTGCAAGATCTCATGAGCTGAGAATTAGTAGCACAGAGAAAAATACCCTGACCTGTTCTGCATTACACCTCTCCTTGCCATTGGCTTATGCTGCACAGTTCCTACTGGAAAACTACAAATATGGCTCTCCTAGAGCATGGCAGCCTTGAAAGAAGGACCAGAAACCAATATGGATGGTTAAGTTGATAGCCAACCAGATAACTACCATACTGTTATTCTTGCCATTGACAATGTGAGGAAAAAAAAATCTGTTTTTACTTCGAAAAGGTCCCCATATTAATGATAGTCCATGATGGAAAGGAACACTGTTTTCATTTTCCCTCCTTAGATACTACATACCACAAGTCAGCCTCTGTGAATGACATTTCTTTTGATGCCAACAAGAGACTCCAAGCCAACTTATGAAGTATACTCACTCACTTCCTTCTCTTGCCCAGTAGTATAAGGGGTTTGTTTGTTTGGTTGGTTGGTTGGTTTTTTTGCATTTCTTATATCACATGATGGAGACAAGATAATTTGTCATGCTAGATCTCAAGAGTACCATTCAGATGCTTTAGTTGGTAGATATCACTTGTCCCTGTTCTGTTCTGCAATTATCTCCCTCACAGATAATATTCTGGGAATGTTCAATTCATGCATAAGCAGAAATGTGACAGAGGCCTGAATGGAAATAGGAACAGAATTAGCTTGTCATTTGAGTAATGTCTTTAAATAATCTTCCCTAGGTTTGCAATGGTCCGTAGTGGGAAAAATGGTGACCTTCATCTTAAACAGATCGCGTACTATAAGCGCACAGGGGAGTATCACCCAACTACACTGTCAAGTGAGAGAAGTGGCATCAGGCGAGCAGCTAAGAAATTTGTCTTCAAAGGTGAGATCGGTGTCTGAATCTCAAGTTATAGTTCTTTTCCATGTGTTGTAGAACGCTTGGAAATTCTCTAGTAACTCAGTTATTGCTAAGTGGTTATCAGTTAAATGGAAGATTATACTCAAAAGTAAAGTAAAACAGTAAAGCTAACTGATGGCTGGTAAACATGAAGAAGGGGTAAGAGAGATGGCTCAGCAGCTAAGAGCATGTACTAATCAAGTCCAATTTCCAATGCCCTTGCTGGGCAGCTCAAAGCCCCTCTAACTCCAGCTTCTAGCCTTAGTACATATCAGCACTTAACTATACACACACACGCACACACACACACACACTCACACACTCAGTCACAATTTAAAAGAAAAAATAAATCTAAAAATGAAAAGAAAATGACCTGTTAATTATAAATCAAAAGGAATAATCATGAAAAGATTACATAAGTTAATTCCTCTCGATTTTGCCACCTAATGGTTCTTACATGATGCACCTTCAGACACTAATGCCACAGTGCTGAAAAAATTATTGTATGCTTAGTAAGGCAATCTTAACAGAGCTAACTAGTTTGCTTACTAAAATAAAAGGCTGGAAGAATATGACTGTATCTGTGTCTGTGCTTACCCACTCCCCTCCCCTCACACTGTACCTTTAGTTATTCTCAGGATTACACTTGTTTTCTAGCCTCGACGCTCCATCAGTACATTAAATATTTGACAGACAGTAGGGCAATCATGAAAACTTCGCCTCCTTTCTAGCTGTTTTGATGGGGAAAGCAAACAGTATGAGATAAGCAAAAGGCAACAACAACAGATACTAAATTAAGGTTAGTGCTACTGATGGAAGTTTTGCCTGGAGATACAGTATTAGGCTTTCTGTAAATCAGGACAGAATATAAGGTGGTAAACTCTAAGGTCATAAATCAGTTCCTGTTCATACATCCCTATACAGACTCCTGTCAGTAACTCCTATTAACAATAGACTGACCTCTTACACTAAAGGAGGTGCATTCATTCAGGTCAAAAATGCTTATTGAAATTCTGTGCTGTGCCAATCATATCGTAGGCTCTGGAGATGTATTGAGTAAGATAGGGTTTCTGTTTATTGATCACCTTAGTATCTTGATGTGTTGTGAAGTCTGCAAAGCTACCCCATGTGAGCTGGAGAAATAGTGGTTCTCCCTGTCCCCTGCTTGCTCCTCTGCTTAGGTATTTTCAGAGGAGAAGAGAACTGAGAATTGTGTTCTTCCCACTGTGACATCCTACCTCTACTCAAATCAGAACAAGGAAAGGAAAAGTATTGGTTACAAAAACCAAACCAAAACAAAAAACAGCTCTAATGGATTTTATAGAAAAGTTAATGCCGAGAAACATCTCATCAATACAGAACTCCCTTTATAACCTAAGCCATTTTAATAGCTTCAGCTTCCATGAGTATTTCCCTAATTTGAGTACTTCCATAGAAAGGGTGTGTCATATTCTCATAGTTAGCACATGATTTGGTGAGCAAGCTCGCTCCATTTCTGTTCATACCTACAGGATTATAGCAGGTAATGGTCCTTCTGAATCTTCAGAATGCATGGAAATATTATTGAAAGTAAATGTTCTGTTTTAAGGAAAGATTTTATGAAAATAAAGTTAAAAATCTTCATAGGTTTAAGTTAAGGCTATAATTGTCTTAACACTATGGAGCTCTGAAATTTATATTTTTTTATGTCATTCATTTCAGAAAAAAAGCTGTTTTATGTGGGGAAAGACAGAAAACAAAATCGTTTGGTAGTTGTTTCCGAAGAGGAGAAGAAGAAAGTGCTGAGAGAATGCCATGAGAATGGCCCTGGTGTACATCATGGCATATCCAGAACCCTCACTCTAGTGGAGTCTGGCTACTACTGGACGTCTGTGACCAATGATGTCAAGCAGTGGGTATGGCTTCCACATAGTGCCTAGGAATGTTTTATTGTCTTTCTGATAAATTAGAGGTCAGTGCTGCCTAAGATGTACTGTACATATCACCCGCGGAGTAAGTACGATATAGATTATTTCTGAACTAAGAAAATATTTAAGTGAAAAGTAACTGCATTTCCCTTTATAATTACCGTAAACCAGTAGTGTATAAATAAAACTAAGAAAATACAATATTTTGACAGGTTTATAGAGCTCCATTTTGCAGACAAAATTCAGGTGAAGTTGAAATTCTTTTGCTAACTATCATATCCTTAGCACCACCATGAATGACTTTTTATATGATGAAGATAAGTCTCTTTGTAATAAATCAGCTCCAGTATGAACTCTCAGCTTTTGTCCCTATTCTGTCTTAAGATAGAAAACTGTCAAATCAGCCAGGCCGTGGTGGTGCACATCTTTAGTCCCATCGTTTGGAAGGCAGAGGCAGGTGGATCTCTGAGTTTGAGGTCAGCATGGTCTCCAGAACAAGTTCCAGGGGGAAAAATGCAAACAAACAAACAAACAAAAACCAAACAAACAAAAAAATGGAAGGAAGGGAGGGAGGGAGGGAGGGAGACAGGGAGGGAGACAGGGAGGAAAGTGTCAAATCTAAGTAGCAGGAACTTAAATGCAAACTGGAAGCATTCTAAGCGCTCCTGTACAGCATTCAGTAAGACAGCCATCAAGTGGTTACAGTTGGAGAAGAGATGTCTTTTTGAAAGCCATGCTGTTTACAGCTGGGGAATGCATTTAAGCTGGGAAGTGAGGTGGTCAGGCATCCTGTGATGAGGCTGTCCGGACCCGCCCACCCCATTCCTCATCCTTGCTTCTGTGTCTTTATACCATCTCCTCCTGCAGTTACAGTTAAACAAATGACTCTGATCACAATGAGGAACTTGTGTGGTTTTGTTCTACATTCTTTTTCTTAGAAGTTGGTTTGAAAATACTTTTCCTTTCAGAAATTCTGGAAATGTTATAAAAATAGTACCATCTATAAATTAGTTAGTTAGCAGTGGTTCTCAACCTTCCTGATGCTGTGACCCTTAAATTTAGTTTCTCACATTGTAGTGACCTCAGCCCTAAAATTATTTCACTTCTACTTCATAACTATAATTTTGCTACTGTTATGAATCGTAATGTAGCTATCTAATATACAGGATATTGTTATGCAACCCCAAAGGGGTCTCAGCCCACAGGTTGAGAACCACTGACATTAAATGAAGGTTCATGATACCTCGGTTTTCCCTAGGTATTATGAAGGTTTCTGGCATCTTGAATATTTTTTGATTAAAATTACAGTTCAGCAAATATTGGTGAAATAGATGGATGAATAAACTATAGAATAAAATTGTAGGAAGAAATACCATTTGTATATATAACTTATTACATAGTTCCATGGTGACTTAACATTATAGAAAGGAGGGATATTATATGATAGTCCATTAGAGGTTAGTTTTTCCTTTTTGTATTCTTCCTTTTTTTTTTTTTTAAGATAAGTTCTTATTATATAACCCAACTTGATTTTTTTTGGCAATTGTTTCCCAGACTCTGTGACTGTTGTAGAAATTTTTTTGTCAACTAAAGATAAAATAATAGAAAATGTATTTAAGATTTTGATTTAGTATACACTTGCATATGAACCAGAATTACATTTCACTTGAGTAAGAACCCACTGAGACTGTTGTTTGATCTGAGTAGCCGGGAGCAGCCCCTTTGCTGCAGCTGTTTGGACTTACTAGCTACACAGCTGCTGTGACAGATACTTCCCTGATGTCCCAAAGAAAAGGTGTCATTTAATGGGCTGTTCTCAGGCCAAGGAACTTCTAAGACACACAGTACCTGTTGACCATGTTAAGATTCTGCTTTATAAAACTGATTTCTATTCTAGTGACTATTTTAACATTTATGTGTATTTTCCTTATTGTGTGCCTCTCTGTAGGTATATGCTTGTCAGCATTGCCAAGTAGCAAAAAATACAGTTATCGTAGCACCTCAGCAGCACCTTCCCATGGTGGGAAACCCGTGGAGTGTAGTTACTGTTGATCTGATGGGACCTTTTCATACAAGCAACAGAAGTCATGTGTATGCTATAATCATGACAGATTTGTTCACAAAATGGGTTATGATTTTGCCTTTATGTGATGTTTCAGCATCAGAAATTTCTAAAGCTATTATCAATATATTTTTCCTATACGGACCTCCTCAGAAAATAATAATGGACCAAAGAGATGAATTCATTGAACAGGTAGGAAAAAAGTTCTCACATTCGGGAGCATGTATCACTCTTTCAGTGTCTGGCATACAGTGATTTGTGCTTCATAGGATATTTAATACATTGAAATGAATTGCTGTAGATATGAAAGTATATAATTATACTACTAAATTTGTTGTAAACCTATCTTTTGATGTCTTCAAACTAAAATGAGATGATTGAATCAAATAATACTTTTTTTACTTCAAGCTTAAGAACAAAAGTAAAAATACAATAAAATTATGTTAGCAAGAGTGAAATAATTGAACATATTTATATCAGGTTAAAATATTAAGAATAATTTTATATGTACATGCTATATATTTAGATAGGTAGCTGTGATAATATGTATACTAACCAAATATGTATATGTATGTTTTAATATGTACACAAACTAAAGCTCATGTTGTAGATTAATCATAGCATGCTAAGTCCTTCAGTAGTCCCATGTAGTATGTGAAGTACAGTAGGAGAAAAGTGGAAAACAGCATGCAGAAGTAGATGCCTCATTCATTCTTTCATTTCAACAGTTAATTAAATTTATGAATATAAAATCTAAATTTCACAAAGCTTCTCATAGAATGGTCCTGTGACTTAAGAGTCTTATAGGCCTCGCACAGAAGAATGGGTGAACAGTCATACTCAGGTGTAAGCAATAAAGAGTTCCTCTCCCTTTCCCAAGATCAAAATTGAAATAGAAGTTGATTTTTGTACTCAGGTAAAAGAAGTGTAAGATATAGAAGGTTAGCATGAAAGCTGAGCATCAGTGGGCCCCAGGCTCCACGCTTCTGTTCTCCCATCTTTGGAGTGGAATTGTCAGTCTTGTGCTAACAGTGTGGCTGCCAGAGCCCAGGTCATATTTATATTGCAGTTAACAAGAGAGGACAGAGGACAAAAAAAGCTAGTGCTCGTGGGTTTGTACAGCAATTTTAACTTACATCTTTTTCTGCCATAGCTTTCATGTGACCACGTCTACCCTCTGAGGGCCTTGGGAAATGAGTGTTTGTATATACATATATATATATATATATATATATATATATATATATATATATATATATGTATACATACTTTTCTTTCATAAACCTTACCTTTTTAATTATTCTGAGTTATTTGTATCAAATGTTTTTTTTCACAGAGAAACTTATTAGTGGAAAATTAACTAAATTAAACTAAATAACAACAACAACAAAGACTGGGAGCATCGAGGCAGGGAAATAATTGTTTTACATTACTTACTTACAGTGTCTGAATTAAAAAGTTACATAACCACGGAATTCATTTTAATTCTGTCCTTCCATTTCTTTGTTTGTGTATACACTGAGTAAGGTGCTTAGACTACCAAAGCTTAATTAAGCTCGTGTCTTTAAAATGAAGCTAGTAATACATCATAAAATTGTCCTGGCTTGTAATGACAAAAATGTAAGACAAAATGAATGTGTGGATCAGACTCAGTCTCTAGGGTTTTATCCAAATGCATATGTATTTTATCTGAATGCCTGTGGTCAATGAAAGATAAAATTCCGGTTTGTTGAAATTTTTTTAAGCCAGAGGGAAAATGTGAACTTTAAGGAGTCAGTTTTCTTTTTCATATTTTTTAGATCAATGTAGAACTATATAGATTATTTGGTGCAAAAGAGATTGTAATTTCTCATGCTTCTGGAAGTGTTAATCCAGCTGAAAGTACACCTAGTACAATCAAAACATTCCTCTCGAAACACTGTGCTGACCACCCAAGCAACTGGGATGAGCATCTGCCCGCTCTTTCCTTTGCCTTCAATGTGACTCACTCGGTATGTGCCTTTGTATTATTAATTGCTTACTCTGACTTCCAGGGATATGAAAGTGTTTTTGGGTTTGTATAATTTTATTACAAGTTTTCTGTTTTTCTTAAAAATAGGAGCCTACTAAAAACACACCATATTTCCAAATGTTCAATCGGAATCCGTGCATGTTGGAGTGTCCTTCTGAAGAGGGAGGTGAAGGTACAAGTGTGTTTGCCAGGATCGTAGCTGCGGTTAGAGAAGCCGATGGAGTGGTGGAGAGCAAGACGCCAGCAGCGGGCCAGGTGATGCTCTCGACTAGGAAAGTTCCCTTTGTGAAGCCCTACAAAAGAGGAATTATGTTTAAACCGCAGCATGTGGGCCTATTCACATATGTGGCCATGATGTCCCCTTAAGCAAAGAAGAAAAAAAAGAAAGAAAGAAAGTTAGTTTGATTATGTACCCGTTCATGTGTGAGCAAGTGTGTGGAGGACTGATGGACTTGTAATGTTGTCCTTGTATGCTGAGTCTCTCTCTTGCTGAACCTGGAGCTCACGGGCGCAGCTGGATCAGCTGACCAGAGAACACTTGGATGCTCCAGTCCCACCCGTTTCCACCCCAGTTGCAGGGGTGACAGACATGTGCTGCTGTGTGCAAGGCATGCCGGGAATCTAACCCATGTCCTCATGAGTGTGTCTGAGGCATTTACCACTGAACATGATCCCCAAATCCAACAGTCTGCTTATAAGCTATGAAATTCTGAGAAATGTAGAGGAATGCCATGAGTTGGGGAGATTGAGTAGACCTGGTTTCTAGTCTGTTAGAATCTGTTTTGAAAGTTGGAGAATTTTGTACTCAGTACATTACTAGTCCAGATCACTCGACCTGTTTTATTGCACCTTCTGTGCACACAAAATATCAATATTGAATTTAAAGTATTTTTAAAATGCATTAGGATTCCATCCTTCATTTCAGGAGCAAATCAGTAAATATCATTGCCATAATCTATCAGTGTATGCCTTTAAATTTAAGGCCTGTCACAATTCTTCTTTGCACTTACAGATGGAGAACAACAATTCGGATGAATTAAGTAAAAGCAAAGTTGTTAAAAAGAAAGCAAAGCAGTTAAATCCCTTTCATTTGAAAGTGGGTCATGAGGTTTTAAGACAGAGGAAGAACTGGTGGAAGGATGGCCGCTTCCAATCTGAGTGGGTCGGGCCTTGTGTCATTGACTACATTACAGAAAGCGGATGTGCTGTCCTCAGAGATAACACGGGGACCAGACTCAAACGACCAATCAAAATGTCCCACCTTAGGCCCTATGTGAGAGAGTCCAGTGAGCAGGGTAAGTATCTGCTACCTCTCTAGTGTTTTATTTCCAAGAAGAAAGATTAAACTTTCAAGCAAACTTCCTTCCTTCCTTTGGTTAAAATCCTCTCCATCTAAATTTTATAAAACTTGATAGAGTTTTAGTTCTCTCCAGGAATCTGTTTGATTAGAATATACTTTCACAAACTCATTTTTTATACAATATATTCTGATTATCTTTTTAAAAACAATGTATTCGGATTACCTTTTCCCCTTCTCTAACTACCGCAGATCCTCCTCACTTCCCCACCCACTCTCACCCACTCTTTCCTTCTCTCTCATTAGGAAAGCAGTATATAAGGTTGATTGATAATTGATTGATGATGATTGATATTGTTATATAATATGAAAGCAAACAAGGCAGGATTTTTGTTTTGACTTCTGTTGCACTTTTCACAACTGCTATGAAAAATGCTGAACCTGCTTCAAATAAGGAACGATTCCATCTTTATTAAGCGCTGCCTCATTTTCATGTGGGGAAACAGCAGCTCAGCTCATTATCAGAGACAGGCATGGTGTCCGGAATGTAGTCGTGAGATAACCAAGGGAACTCTAAAAATGTGTTTCCTTTTAATGTTGCTTCATAAAGTCGTAAGTCATGGGTTAAGGTGGAGGACAGAGAATCCTCAGAATGCTATAGAATTACACCATGGCATTCCATTTCGAGTCCCCCACACTATGCCAGAGTGCATCCCGATCCAGAACTTTCTCCCGTGTAGACTTAGATGACATTGTGTCATGGTTTTCAGATTAAGCCCTCTACTTCAGCAAGATTATTTTATCCTAAAGTATTTGCTCCATGGAGCTTCTCTGGGTAAGACAAATGAGAGAAATTATTTGATACTTTTCATAATTATGCTTTTTTCTGTAATGAAGGTAATATATTGTATCATTTTTATGCATGTATATCATATACTTTGCTCATTTTATTTTTTTATTATTTTTTTTTATTGGATGTTTTATTTACATTTCCTATGTTGTCCCCTTACCCCATCCCCCACCCACCCCGGAACCCCCAATCCCCTCACCCCTCCTCCTTCTTCTCTGTGGATGTAACCTCTATCTACTCCCCCCCACTCCCACCTCCCCACCCTCAAAATTCCCACCCCCTGGGGCATCCAGCCTTCATGAGGTCAAGGTTCTCTTCTTCCACCTATGCCCAGCAGGGCCCTCCACTCTTACATATTCAGCTGAAGCCCTGGATCCCCCCCCTAAGTGCTCCCAGGCTGGTGGTTTAGACCCTGGGAGCTGTGGTTGGTTGGTATTATTGTTCTCCTCATGGTGCCGCAAATCCTTTTAGCTCCTTCAGTCTTCACTCTAACTCCTCTATTGAGAAACCCATGATCAGTTCAATGGCTAGTTGTGAGCATCTGCCTCTGAATATGTCAGACTCTTGAAGACCTCTGAGGAGACATCCATATCAGGCTCTTATCAGCATGCACTTCCTGACTTCCACATCAGCATCTACCTTTGGTGACTGCACATGGGATGAATACTCAGGTGGAAAGGACTTCAGACGGCCCCTCCTTCAGTTTTTGTCCCTCGCTTTGTCTCCATATTTGCTCCCTTGAGTATTTTGTTGCTCCTTCTAAGAAGGACCGAATCACCCCCACTTGGTCTTCCTTCTTTATGGGCTTCATGTGGCCTGTGAGTTGCATCTTGGGCATTTCAAGGTTCTGGGCTAATATCCAATAATCAGTGAGTGAATACCATGTGTGTTCTTTTGTGATTGGCTTACCTGACTCAGGATGATAATTTCTAGTTCCATCCATTTACCTAGGAACCTCTCGAATTCATTGTTTTTAATAGCTGAGTAATACTCCATTGTGTAAATATACCACATTTTTTGAATCCATTCCTCAGTTGAAGGACATCTGGGTTCTTTCCAGCTCCTGGCTATTATAAATAAAGCTGCTATGAACATAGTTGAGCATATGTCCTTATTATATGTTCGAGCGTCTTCTGGGTATATGCCTAGGAGTGGTATAGCTGGATCCTCAGGTAATGCTATGTCCAATTTTCTGAGGAACCGCCAGACTGATTTCCAAAGTGGTTGCACCATCTTGCAGTCCCACCAACAATGGAGGAGTGTTCCTCTTTCTCCACACCCTCGACAGCATCTACTATCACCTGAGTTTTTAATCTTAGCCATTCTGACTGGTGTGAGATGGAATCTCAGGGTTGTTTTGATTTGCATTTCCCTGACGACTAAGGATGCTGAGCATTTCTTTAGGTGCTTCTCGGCCATTCGAGTTTCTTCCGTTGAAAATTCTTTGTTAAGCTCTATACCCCATTTTTTAATAGGGTAATTTGGTTGTCTGGAGTCTAATTTCTTGAGTTCTTTGTATTTATTGGATATTAGCCCTCTATCAGTTGAAGGATTGGTAAAGATCTTTTCCCAATTTGTTGGTTGTCGTTTTGTCCTATTGACAGTGTCCTTTGCCTTACAGAAACTTTGCAATGTTATGAAGTCCCATTTGTCAAATCTCGATCTTAGAGCATATGCCATTGGAGTTCTGTTCAGGAACTTTTCCCCTGTGCCCAAGTATTCGAGGGTCTTCCCCACCTTCTCTTCTATTAGTTTCAGTGTATCTGGTTTTATGTGGAGGTCCTTTATCCACTTAGATTTGAGCTTTGTACAAGGGGATAAGAATGGATCAATTTTCATTCTTCTACATGTTGTCCTCCAGTTGAACCAGCACCATTTGTTGAAAATGCTGTCCTTTTTCCACTGGACAGTTTTAGCTCCTTTGTCAAAGATCAAGTGACCATAGGCGTGTGGGTTCATTTCTGGGTCTTCAATTCTATTCCATTGATCTTCCTGCCTGTCTCTGTACCAATACCAGGTAGTTTTTATCACTATTGCTCTGTAGTACAGCTTGAGGTCAGGGATGGTGATTCCTCCCGAAGTTCTTTTATTGTTGAGAATAGTTTTCGCTATCCTGGGTTTTTTGTTATTCCATGTGAATTTGAGAATTTCCTTTTCTAACTCTGTGAAGAATTGAGTTGGGATTTTAATGGGGATTGTATTGAATCTATAGATTGCTTTTGGCAAGATGACCATTTTTATTATATTAATCCTGCCAATCCATGAGCATGGGAGACCTTTCCATCTTCTGAGATCTTCTTCAATTTCTTTCTTCAGAGACTTGAAGTTCTTGTCATACAGGTCTTTCACTTGCTTGGTTAGATTCACACCAAGGTATTTTATATTATTTGCAACTATTGTGAAGGGTGTCATTTCCCTAATTTCTTTTTCAGTCTGTTTATCTTTCATGTAGAGGAAGGCTACTGATTTGTTTGAGTTGATTTTATAACCAGCCACTTTGCTGAAGTTGTTTATCAGGTTTAGGAGTTCTCTGGTGGAAGTTTGGGGGTCACTTAAGTATACTATCATATCATCTGCAAATAGCGATATTTTGACTTCTTCCTTTCCTATTTGTATCCCTTTGACTTCTTTTTGTTGTCTAATTGCTCTGGCTAAGACTTCCAGTACTATATTGAATAGGTAGGGGGAGAGTGGGCAGCCTTGTCTAGTCCCTGATCTTAGTGGGATTGCTTCAAGTTTCTCTCCATTTAGCTTGATGTTGGCTACTGGTTTGCTGTAAATTGCTTTTACTATGTTTAGGTAGGGGCCTTGAATTTCTGATCTTTCCAAGACTTTTATCATGAAGGGATGTTGAATTTTGTCAAATGCTTTCTCAGCATCTAGTGAGATGATCATGTGGTTTTTTTCTTTAAGTTTGTTTATATAGTGGATTACATTGATGGATTTCTGAATATTGAACCATCCCTGCATTCCTGGGATAAAACCTACTTGATCATGATGGATGATTGTTTTGATGTGGTCTTGGATTCGGTTTGCTAGAATTTTATTGAGTATTTTTGCATCGATGTTCATAAGGGAGATTGGTCTGAAGTTCTCTTTCTTTGTCGGGTCCTTGTGGGGTTTGGGTATGAGTGTAATTGTAGCTTCATAGAACGAATTGGGTAGTGTTCCTTCTGTCTCTATTTTGTGGAATAGTTTGAAGAGAATTGGTATTAGGTCTTCCTTGAAGGTCTGATAGAATTCAGCGCTAAAACCATCTGGTCCTGGGCTTTTTTTAGTGGGGAGACTTTTAATGACTGCTGCTATTTCCTGAGGGGTTATGGGACTATTTAGATGGTTTATCTGCTCCTGGTTTAACTTCGGTACCTGGTATCTGTCTAGGAAATTGTCCATTTCATCCAGGTTTTCCAGTTTTGTTGAGGCCTTTGTAGTAGGATCTGATGATTTTTTTAATTTCTTCCGTTTCTGTTGTTATGTTTCCCTTTTCAGTTCTGATTTTATTAATTTGGATACTGTCTCTGTGCCCTCTGTTTAATCTGGCTAAGGGTTTATCTATCTTGTTGATTTTCTCAAAGAACCAACTCCTGGTTTTATTGATATTTTGTATTGTTCTTTCTGTTTCTATTTGGTTGATTTCAGCCCTGAGTTTGATTATTTCCTGCCTTCTACTCCTCCTGAGTGTATTTGCTTCTTTTTGTTCTAGAGCTTTTAGTTGTGCAGTCAACTTGTTAGTGTGTGCTCTTTCCAGTTTCTTTTTGTAGGCACTTAGAGCTATGAGTTTTCCTCTTAGCACTGCCTTCATGGAGTCCCACAAGTTTTGGTATGATGCGTCCTCATTTTCATTGAATTCTAAAAAGTCTTTAATTTCTTTCTTTATTTCTTCCTTGAGCAAGTCATCATTGAGTAGAGAGTTGTTCAGTTTCCATGTGCACATGGGTTTTCCATTGGTTTTGTCATTATTAAAGACCAGTCTTATTCCGTGGTGATCTGATAAGACGCAAGGGATTATTTCAATCTTTTTGTATCTGTAGAGGCTTGTTTTGTGACCAATTATATGGTCTATTTTGGAGAAGGTACCATGAGGTGCTGAGAAAAAGGTATATTCTTTTGTTTTAGGATGAAATGTTCTATAGATGTCTGTTAAGTCC